CGTCTAGGTTCGGCTTTGATACCACTTGTAATGCTTCGACTGTCACCTCTCCTAGTTGGCCCTATATTCACTCTCAGCCCATAGTCCCACCTCTTTTAATGGGCCTCATGTTCTCTCACTAGGTTCGTGAGCCCATCTATATTGGACGGCCAGTTTGCTACGTTTCAAGGAGGCTTTAGAGACTTGTTTACCGACTCTACAAATCACCAAATGATATTTCCCTGTGTTTTGGCCTCACTCGCACAGTTCTGACAACTACGTCCGAGAAAGTCACCCATCCTTTGACTAATCCAGCATAATCACGCTTAACTGTGGAGTTCTCTCACGACTACTGACAGAAAATAATATTGCACTTTGTAAAGATATCTGGCCAAATCAATTCATTTAAGCCTCTCCACAAACCAGGTCTTACAATTCTCCCCCTCTAACAGACTGCAAGTCCTCATTGCGCACCAACACTATCACCCCTTGAGAGTGTGAGCCCACTACTCCACACTCGTATGGGTTCGGCTATGATTCCACTTGTAACGCCCCAACCGTCACCTCTCCTAATGAACCCTATGTTCACTCACAACCCATGGTCCCACCTCTCTCAATGGGCATCACTTCCTCTCACTACCATGGATTCATTTTCCAATCTTTCCCACTGTCTATTATTCAAGGACTCCGTGCAACCGTCATCACAGCCGACCGTCCATTTTCCATGAGCCGAGAGTGAAATGGGGCTCACTGGGAGAGGGGACAGTGGAGGCGTTACAAGTGGTATCAAAGTTGAACTCAGACAACAGTGGATTGGGGGGGTCACACTATTTGGGGGTGACGATCTTGGTGCATAACGAGGACGCTGCGGCTTCTTAATAGGGGGAACTATCTTTGCGGAGAGGCTTAAAATAACTCATTTGGCCACATATGTCACCATATTGCACTTAAATTTTTGGTTAAGGGTCCTGAGAGAACTCCACATGTAAGCGTGCTTATGCTAGAGTAGTCCAAGGATAGGTGACCTTCCGAGAACTGGTTTTCAGAACTGTGTGAGTGAGGTTAAAACAGAGGAAAAGATCATGTGATGATTTGTAGGGTCGGTAAGCAAGTCTTTAAAGCCACACCTCCGTAGCAAGCCAACCGTCGATATGGATGGGCTAACGGGCCTAGTGAGAGGACGTTAGGTCTATCAAGAGAGGTGAGCCCATAGGCTGAGACTGAACATAGAGGCCACTAGGAGAGGTGGCGGTCAGGGAGTTACAAGTGACATATGAGTCGAACCCAGACATGTGTGGAGTAGTGGGCTCACACCATTAGGGTTTGATGGTCTTAGTGAGCAATGTGGACGTTGCGGTTTGTTAGTGGGGGAGAATTGTGGAACCCTTGTTCATGGAGAGGCTTAAATGAATTGATTTGACCATCTATGTCACCAATGTACACTTATCTTTTCGGTCAAGAATCCTGAGAGAACTCCACAGTTAAGCATGTTAGAGCATGTCCAATTGAACTTTTTAATTTAAACTTCTAAGTAGTTTTTGGATAATAAATTGTGCACTTTTCAAAAATAAGAATTTTTTAAAATCATCCCCTTCCAATGGTAAAACTCTAATTGGAGTTCTTAAATACAAAAATTTGAAAACAAAATTTTATAAAACAGGAAAATTATTTAGAATTTTTGAGAAATACCTCTTTTGGTGTACCCCTTTTCAAAATACTCCATTTATCAAATTTTTTTCAAAAATACCCTTGTTTAAATATGAAAAATTATAAAGTTTTATATGCTTTATAAGGTACTTCTACATAATAACTACTACTGAGAATCGATATAAATATTGTATAATGTTTTAAATGGTTTTAAAATGTTTTTAAAAGGTTTTAAAATGTTTTTAAAAGAGTTTAAAAGGTTTTTATAATTTACCTTTACACAATTTATAAAAAAAATATATAAAATTTTATACACATACAAAGGTAATTTGTGTGTATAATGATTATAAGCTTACACACATATTTGGATAAATTTTAACATTTTTAGTGGTTTTTTGATAAAGTTTGAAAATGGAGTATTTTTAAAAGAGAAAATAGCATCTACACCTACTTTAACCCAAACTATTCACCAACACACGCACTTTTTGCTACTCCTATAATTTTTACTAAGGAAAAGACTAATAACTCCTCAAACTCTAAACTCCTCTCCTTCTCCTTGTTTCTATAATATTTTTTTTATTAATATTGTTATTTTTTTTCCCAACCAATCTCTCTCCACCCCTTTCATTCTTCACGTTTCTTTATCCCTTTACTATTTTTTACTATTTTTTATTATTTTTTTATTTTTTATAACTAATCTCTCTCAGTTATTAATGTATAGTGCATACAACTCTCTTGATTTTCTCAATGGCATATGTTCACTCTTTTGCCTCTATTTCTGTTTTCCATATGGACATTACCTCGTGGATAACAAGAATTTGTGAACATGTGATAAGACACCAACCACTATATGGTAAAGAAATGCAAACGTCAAATTGGTATAAAGAGAATAGAATATAAATTTCAAGAGGTTGAGATTTGCTTTTTTACTCACTTTAAGATGTTACTTTATATATTTTCTCATGTGTGAGCTTCTCTTACTTCTTTTACTTAAATTAAAATTTGATATGGTACAAGTTAAGATGGATATGCTTTCTACTTGTTTCTTTGGGTTTATAGACCATTTTTGTGTTATTGTGTATGTTATTGAGTTACATATTTCTTTATTCAACTAAATTGTGTTTGTTTTAAATATTCGTATCATATGAAATTTATATTAAAAAAAAAAAACTAGACACGTTTTTTTAGATGCGAGTGATATAGTAATGGCCAATGACACGACGATGGTTGATGGAAACCATCATATCAAATGAATTATAAGCCATCCATAGTATAATTTTTAATTTGGATTTGATTTTACGGACACATTTACCCTATATATATCCATGTGGTTATAATAGTGTGGATATGCTCGAATGTTCATTAATGTTTGTAGGTTAGGATGTAGCGTATGATTTATGGTTTTGGTTTTAGATTTATATTTAAGATTTATGTTTAGGATGTAGCGTATGATTTATGGTTTTGGTTTTAGATTTATAATTAAGATTTATGTTTAGACATTGGTGTTTAAGGTTAGATTTAAGGTTTTATGATATAAGATATATGATTTAGGGGTTTAGGGTTTAAGTTGCAACTCCGAGTCCAAATGAAGCTATTGATGGGGTCTGTTATTGTTTTAGGTTTTAGGGTTTGGAGTTTAGATTTAAGATTTAGTGGTTGAGTTTAGGTATGTACACTAACTTGATTTTCTTAATTACATCCAAACTAACATAAAAATTGATGTATTCATAAAACTCTAAGTTGGCACCAAAAATGTCATATCCATTACAACTTGTCCATATAAAAGTAACAATTACAATAATGGGCATATTATTTCAAAACACTTGTTGTACTATACAGTTTGTGTGCATATGAAAAACTAGAACAATAATAAGTTTGATTAAGATACAAATTGATTCATAGAAAATTGATGGACATCAAAATCACAAAATACATTGTCCATATGACCAATACCATATGGATACTTTAATAAAAAAACTACTTAACAAACTACCATTGGACATGGTCTTATGCTGGAGTAATCAAAAGATGGGGACCTTCTGGGAAGTGGTTGTCGAAACTGTGTGATCGAGGCCAAAACACAGAGATCATCATGTGGAGATATGTAGGGTTCGTAAACAAGTATTTAATCCTTCTAGACGTAGTAAGATGGCCGTCAGATATAGATGGGCTCACAATTCTAGTGAAAGGATATGAAGCCCATTAAGAGAGGTGGGCCCATGGGCTGATAGTGAACATGGAACCCACTTGGAGAAGGGACGGTCGAGGCGTTACAACTATACACTAGTGAAGTAGCCAGGAGGATAATAAGCTCTATAAAGGAGAGACAAGAGGTGTGACCGATGAACAAGCTAGTTGTACTGAAAACAAGATTTAGGACCAAGCTGCCACAAGACAACTTCTAGAAATACTAAATCGACACAGAATCTACATATTGCAGTAAGAGATAACATAAAGGCGATAAGGGTGTGCTACAAAAGAGCACAATCATAAACACAAAGGTAACTAAACCCATCAACACCAAAATAGCTAAATCCGAGTTCCACAAAACCATAGCCACAATCTCAGCATACATCCAAGACCTTCCCATCTTAGAAGAGATAAAGGGCAAGAGAGAAAGCATACCTGGTGAAACTTATGAGCAGAGGAGGTAAGGAAGTTGGTCGAGGTAGTTAGATAAAGATGGCTATCAAACTATCTAATCCTTGTCGCAACGAGGGATTCATAATGAAACACCAGTCCAAAGATAATGAGCGGTTTTGCAAGGAGGAAAGGGATGCTGATAAAGGGAGGAACGCCATATCTAGTCGAGGACTGTTGGAGGAGTGAGTCAAGCCTTCTATGAAAGGAAGAAAGCATCGGCTGAGGAAGAGAATCGTCAAAAAAAATGCAAACATGAGAATCCGGTGGGTCTGGTGGTTTTGGTAGAATCAACGAAAATGGAGGCTTCGATGATGGTGCAAGAGGAGGGAAGGGACCGAAAACAATGGAAAATGGTGAGAGTGACTCAAATTATAAGAGAAAAAAAACATCTCAAAACAAAACAAAGCGTCTCTCACCAGAAAACAATCACGTCATTAGAGTAAAAGTTTGGTTAAAAAGATCTCGGCTTAGCAGATAGCGGCGGTCAAGAAATAAGCAACCATAAGAATTTTAATTATTTTTTTCGTGGTTTTTTTTTTTTTCTTCCATAAATACCCAAAAAAACATTAGCAATCTAACTTTATTCTCCTTTGCTGTGATTGGTCTCTTATCCAAAACAAATCCCAAAATTTTGACTAATGTCACACAACAGAGATTAGATACTAATCAACAAGATTACGTCCTTATCATCGTTAAGCTTAAAACGAGTAGTAATCTCACTTGACTAAGACTTGACTTCTTTGACCTCTTCCTTCTTTGCTCCCATGGCGTTTCTAAAACCCTAAGCCAAAATCCAAAAAAATGAGTGAGAATCATAATCACATGGCGGAGGTGAAATCTCTGAACGCGTTGGTCGATGGTTCATTCCAGAAGACTCTCTCAAAACTCTCTTCGACTTCTCGTACGATTCCGACGAACAGTGATTTCCAAATTCTCTACAGTTCCGACGAGTTCAAGCGTCCGATTGATGAACTAGCTCGGAGCTCGCAGTGTGCTCTTGAGACGATCGGTGATAAAAAATCGGTGAGATTCGTTGACGGCGGTGGTGGTGATGGTTCGTTTGACTGGCTTGTCAACGTGAACGATGCGATTCTCGAGAAATTTGACGATTCTGTAGATGAGTTCAAGAGGAATCGAAAAGTAAAGGAAGATTCAGAGAAGGCGATTGCTGTGAAATTTAAGAAAGAACATGGTAAGGCGAAGGTTCCTTTTCATTTGCCAACGATTAACAAGCCTCAAGTTGAGTATAAGATTGTGGTGAACAATGCGAATAAACCTTTCGAGCATGTTTTGTTGGAGAAGAGTGAGGATGGTCTAAGGTTTATTCATCCATTGGTTAGTCTTCGTTTTGCTGGAACCTGGAACTGTAATCTTTGGTTATTTAGGTTTCTGTATGTGATTTGTGTTTTGCTTATTTGTTTGTAATGCTTTGCAGGAGAAGTTTACGGTGATGGATTTTGTGGATAAAGATATAAGTGAGATGAAGCCTGTTAAGTATCTCCCATTGGATGAGACTCCATTAACGATTGTTGAAGAAGTCAAAGATCTTGAGGAATTAGCTGCGACACTGCAAAGTGTTGACGAGTTTGCTGTAATTTTCCATACTCTTGGATTTATTTTTGTTTGTCTAATGTGCAATGCGTTCTTGGAATGTGAGAATTTTCTGATTATGCTAAGCTCACTTAAAGTCTTTATCTTTAGTATATTGAGTAGACAAAGAGAACTTAATTTATGAGTTAGCGATGATGGTATCTCTTTCCATATTTATTGGTGTATCTTGTTTATCTTTCTTGCTAAGTTTATTGTCTTTTATTCCTTTTGTAGGTTGATCTGGAGCATAATCAGTATAGATCTTTTCAAGGATTGACATGCTTGATGCAAATCTCTACTAGAACCAAGGATTATATTGTTGATACATTCAAGCTTTGGGATCATATTGGACCTTATCTAAGGGAACTCTTCAAAGACCCGAAAAAGAAAAAGGTTTCCTTTGAAACTTGAATAAATATTTTCAACAGAATTCCCGGAGTATGATTAATGCAATATGAAAACATTTAATTTACATAGGTAATGCATGGAGCAGATCGAGATATTATTTGGCTTCAAAGGGATTTCGGCATTTATGTCTGCAATCTTTTTGACACAGGACAGGTTTGATTTCTGGTTATTTTGTTTTCGCAAAGCCATGTTTCTTTGTTTTACATCTTAAGAAGAAATTTTTGTTTTCTGTCAGGCCTCAAGGGTGCTAAAGCTGGAGAGAAATAGTCTGGAGTTTCTTCTGAAGCATTATTGCAGAGTTGCTGCAAACAAAGAGTACAGAATAATCCAATTTCGGTTAACCTTTATTCTTTTTGCATTATCATCCTCCCACTCTTATTAAATTTATATTTTGCTATTTGGCTGCAGATACCAAAATGCAGACTGGAGAATACGACCACTTCCAGATGTAATGACAAAGTTAGTATCTTCCCTGTCTAGTCTCTTTCAATATTGTATTGCATTGGTTGGGTTGAGCTCACACCATTTCCATGTAATGACAGATATGCTAGAGAAGATACCCATTATCTTTTGTACATTTATGATGTAATGCAAATAGATTTGCACACAATGGCAAAGGAAAACGAGCAATCTGACTCTCCTCTTATAGAGGTAACAATCTATGGGTTTTTCCTTTTTTTTAGATTTTGATTCAAGGTAAACTGATAGAGTAGAGAGGATACTTTAAACAAACACCTAACTTTATTAAACACAAGGAAATACAGGATTGCTCCCAAAATAAGATACGTGACTCTTGTTCCTTCTGCTCTCACCCAATAATGTTAAACAGAAACCCAACATATCATTATGCTCTTGGAAGAGCTTATTAAATAGAAATCTTGTGCATGGCTTAGCAAACACATAAATATTCTTCCTTCTTGGTCTGTGCTTTAGCTTTCTTATGTTTTCTTTGATTCCTCTAGTTCATCTTGATGTCTCGTTGTCATGTATACCTTTCATGGATTGTTCATAATAAGTTATTGGTGTATACCTTTCTTATGTATACCTTTCATGGTTGTTGGTGCATGAAGTTCAGGCATCAATTCATTTGTATCTATAGTTTCACGTATGTTGTTGTGTCTTCTTCAAATATTTGGATAACCATATTGACAAAGGTACCCATGCTAACAGGTTTACAAACGCAGTTATGATGTGTGCATGCAACTATATGAGAAAGAGCTTTTGACTGCGGATTCATATCTTCACGTTTATGGGTTTGTTGCTTATTACCTGTTCTTTGGCTAACTGGTCAATTGCTTTATTGCTTCTATATGGAAGAACAGTACCCTATTAAATTATGCATGGTTTATTAGCTTAAACTAATCTGTAGTATGTGTTTCCATTTTGGCATTTGTTAGGGTTCAGACAGGTAATCTCAATGCGGTTCAACTTTCCATTGTTGCGGTATGTTCCCAACTTGCGTAATGATCCAAGGCAATCTTCACTTGCCTTTCATATTACTATATGAAGCTTACTTAGTTAGTTGCTAACTTACAGGGGCTTTGTGAATGGCGAGATCGGATTGCACGTGAAGATGATGAGAGCACCGGTTATGTATTGCCAAATAAAACTCTTTTTGACATAGGTAGATATTTTACTTTTTATCTCTAGGTCCTTGGATATTTTTCGGTGGTTTCTTAATTGGTCTAACTTGTTTTATTAAAAAACAGCCAAGGACATGCCATTTTATGTTGGTCAGTTGCGCCGGTTGTTGAAGTCAAAGCATCCTTACATCGAGCGTAATTTTGACGCAGTGATCAGTCTCATCAGACAATCTATGCTAAAGGCAGCGGCATTCGAGCCAGTTGTTCAATCTCTAAGAGATTGCCGTCCTGCAACAGTAAGATATTTATTATGTTATAAATTGTTATTGTACATTAACTCGTTTTAGGTGTCTTTCTGTTATTGGGACTAAGAAAAATATGTGCTTGCCTTTCAATCCTAGAGTAGTTTTTGGCAACGATTGGTGTTATCTAGTAGATTTTTTTTAAAATGTAAGGTTTTAATTTGGGGGTATGTACTTGCCTTCTTGATGAAAAGCAATTAACAGTGACTATATATGATGCTTGCTTGATTTAGTTGATTAGGTCATACATAAACCAGGTTTATTAGGAATTAAATCTTGCATCCTTCAATAGCATGTGAACAAAATGTCTAGTAGTTTGGCGGTGGTTAACCTTGAGATTTTTCTATTTAGCCATATGAGTCATGCTGCTTTATTGCATGCACTTGGTAATTATTTTGAATGTAAAAAAACTCTTTACTCAATGCCTTTTTTAAATTTAGGTTGACGATAGTGAGAAAACAGGCGCAAAGGCTTCACCTTCTTCTCTAAGTTTGAGTAAGTTCCGTGTGGATGATTCAAAGAAACAAAGAAGTGATTTTGGAGTTTTCCCGTCAAAGAGGAAGTTTGAAAGTGACAACAAGGTGAGGTTCTGAAAATTTAATCCATGCTCTTGGTAATTAGTTAACGTTAGATATTCTCTTTACTCTATGGCTTTCTTAATTTAGGTTGTTCAGAAGAATATCAAACCTAAGATCGAGAAAACAGGCAAAGAGGCGACATCATCTTCTCTGAATTTGAATAAGTTTTCTGTGGATGATTCAAAAAAACAAAGCAGTGGTTTTGGAGTTCTGCCGTCAAAGATGAAGTTTGAAAGTGACAACAAGGTAAGATTGTTATATAGTCTGAGGAGTTAGAGATTTGTAGAAAACTGTATCTGCTGATAAACACGTTGCAGGCAAAGGAAGTTGTTAAAGTGTCCAAATCCAAGCCAGATAAGTTAACCATAGTGCTGGATGATGATGATGAGCCTGATAAACAGAGCTGGGAAACAGGTGATGCTTCGAACAGAGCTTCGGAAATGTCTTCTACGGGACCAGGATCGCTATCAATGACTCAAAAGCCGACGACTCAAAAGCCGACGACAAGTAATACTGAGATTATAGTGATTGACGATGATGATGAGTCAGAGAATGATGGAGACATGAGTAGGAGAAGTGAGAAGGATAAGAGATTCATGAGCCTGAAACGCGGGTTTCTTGACAAGTAGGTCTTTTGATTAGCTTTTGCGGTACAGTTTGTGCAATATTTTGGTGGCTGTTTTGTGTGTTACAACAATCTATCTTGACTTGTCTGTGTATACAACAAGTAGACTTGTGTATTTCGATGTGTTAATTAAAATGGTGAATCAACCCTAAACTGAACATAGCAATTATCATTGAGTTTGATAAACTAAAATGAAAGTGTTTCAGAAAATACCATGCAGATCCAGGCCTCGTTTCTAAGATGTTGGAGCCTCTATTGAAAGAAAGATAGATTTGGAATCCCTAAATCAATAGGTTTGCTATAAATCAATAGGTTTGCTATCAGCTTTGCAATATTACTACGTATGTGCGAGGTTATGCTTGTAAATGTAATTTTTAGGAATGTTATTAACATCCATAATTCAAACTCGTATTTGTTCAGTATTCGGTTTATTTTAAATTAAGTTTAGACAAACCAACCTTTGAATTTTGTTTTGTTATCACTTAGCAATAAAGACAACTACATATATATACTAGTACAGTACCCGTCCGATGGACGGGTTATCTTTATTTCAAATTAAATTAAAATTAAAATTTATTATAACTTATATAAAATAATTTCCTAACTTTTTTTTTGAAAAAATAAGAGAAATTAATTTCATTTGGAAAGAGATTTTATTTGGTTTGAAGTATCAAATAAACGTGTATATACTCTTAAAATTCGTTATTAAACGTTAATTATAAAAATATAGTAATGTCAAACTGACAATCACCAAAACATTTAGGAGTTATTTGGGAGCTATTCACCATTACTCATAATATTGCTAAAATATTTTTAAAAAATCAATTTAGCAATTATCCTCTAAAACATGATTATACCATTTTGTAAAAATTGTTACTTCTTAACTTTCAATTTTTCAAAAAATCATTCTTAGACTATGAAAATTAATTAATTATTATTTAATATGATGGTAAAGTTCTTTCAAATTAACATCAATCTAAAATATGATGTTAAATACAAATATAGTCATTTATAAATAAATTCATATAAACAACGCAAATAAACATAAAGATTCTAAAATAAATTATAGCATCGCTGAGGAAAATATTAAAAAATCTTTCAAATACGAATTATAAAAAACTAAATATTTTCTTTAAAAAAATTTTAAAATTACTATATTACGATTTATATTGAACTTTGTTATCTTTAATTTAAGCTAAAAAAAATATTTTCGAAAATCTTTTATTCACCCTTATCTTTTAGAAAATGAAATTGCTCAATGGCATAATACATTCATACATAAATTAAAAATTAAACAGATATTACATATTATAAAATAAAAATCATGAATAAAATTATGTATTTAGTTAAACTCAAAATCTAATTTATTTGTAAACTGTAAATCCTAATTCTCCTTTATGAACCCAAACTAAAGAAATAACCTTGTTTAATTGTAAAACCTAAATCTCACTCCTCTTTAATAAACTCAAACCGATAAATAATCTCGTTTAATTATAAAATCTAAACTATAATGCACATTTATAAACTCAACACATAACCCTTATAATTGTAAAACCTACAACTCGCAAAACCAAAAATTAGGTTAATAGTTGAAAGAGAATTTTTGAGAAATACCCCTTTTGGTGTACCCCTTTTTAAAAATACACCAATTTTCTATCCATTTTGAAAAATATCACTTTTCAAATATGAAAAACTGTAAACTTTTATATAGTTTATAAGGTACATCTAGATCATCATTACTATTGGGAGACTCAATACAAATATTTATAAAGTTTTAAAAAGATTATAAACGGCATTTATAAGACTTTTATAAGGTTTACAAAGTTTTTATATGTTTTTTAAATGTAATTTTTAAAAGGTTTTTAAAAGGTATTTATATGGTATTTAAAATTTACACACATAGAAAGATAATTTGTGTCTAAATATATAAGCTTACACATTTTTTTTTTATAAATATCAATTTTTTTACTTTTTAATTTATCAAAAACACCCTTTTTCCATACCACTTTTTAAAAATACCCCTATTTCAAACTTTATAAAAAACCACTATAAATGTTGAAATTTATCCAAATATGTGTGTAAACTAATATATATACACACAAATTACCTTTATATATGTTAAAATTTTTATATATCTTTCATAAATAGCGTAAAATAACTTATAAATACCTTTTAAAAACCTTATAAACCCTTTTAAAAACCACTTAAAAACCTTATAAACTTGTAAAAACGATTAAAAACCTTTTAAAACATTATAAAATATTTATATCAATTTTACAAGTAGTAGTTATTATATAGAAGTACCTTATAAACCATATAAAACTTTATAATTTTCATATTTAAACATGGATATTTTTAAAATGGATAGATAAAAGAGGTATTTTTGAAAAGGGGTACACCAAAAGGGGTATTTCTCAAAAATTCTCTTCAATTTTGTATGATTATTTTTTAATGTTGTTTAAAAATTCTATTTGTATCTTAATATTAACAAAATTAGATATAACATGTTGCGACATCTTATGTTTTTACTTGACACTTATCATGATCACTTGAGTTAGTAAATTTAAAAACCAAGTTTCGACATATAATCTCGTTTAATTGTTAAACTTAAACCATAATTTTAATTTATAAAGATAAACCATAATTCTTATTTATCATTTATATACCCAAACTAACAAATAACTTGATTTAATTGTAAAATTAAAGTTTAAACCTTAATCCTCTTATGTTTAAACAAAAACCGCCATATATTCTTGTTAATTATAAATTTTAAATCCCTATCTTATTAATAAATCAAATCGACATAACTGAAATTAGGTTATTTGTTTAATTTTATTAATAATTTTTAATATATAATTCTTTATAATATTTATTTTATATATTTTCTTTTTCGATCGGGTTAATAATATTTCTATTTTATTCAAATATTAACAAAATTAGTTACGACACGTGTCAGTATCTTATCATTTATAATTGACACGTGTCACGATCTTGTTAATGACTGACTTTGAAAACAATGCGCATTAATTGTGGACAAAGTGAAGCTTTTACCCATAGGATAATGAGCTAATTTAGTTAGTGTTAACCTAAAACGAAAAAGTAGATCTCAGTTGTTAATGAAGGACAAGTGAGACATTTTGAGCTTTGTAAAAGATTTTGAGCTTCTGGAGGAGATTTTGGAGGAGACAGAAGATCCCAAAATCGAGTTCAATGAGAGGATTTCCGAGTTTCTGGAGAGTATTTGCAGAGGACAAGATCGGCGAAGGTAAAATATCGTCCATACTTTAGTTACTGGTTGTGTGTAGTAACCATTTATGTCTAAGCTAAACCTGAGAAACAATATTTACTACTGTCTTCTGTCTGTGAGAAAAATGTAGTTGGAGGTTGAAATAAATGTTTTCCTTGGCAAGTAGCAGGTTCTGGAGATGGACAAGACCGTCTGTGTCATAGAAGGAACATGGGCGTATGATGGTATAGGTGTGTGCAAGTTTTTAGTGCGTAGTGGACAAATGGGGAGATGTATGTCTATCGGGAAAGAGATAACATTTGATGTGTTGGAAAGTAAGGTGGCAGAGTATTGGGTGTTGATATTTGTAAGAATAAGATATGGTTAAGCTTTTGGTACCCAGGGGAGACAGCAGCCTTTACACAAGGGAAGATGTCTCCAATAACAATAACCACCGATGTGGAATTGGCACAGTATAAGATAAAGCATACAGAGTACGGTGGACTATATTTGTACGCAACAGTTACTGTCCGCGGAGGTGATGAAGGTATGTTGTCCACTAGCAGGCTGGGACAGACTGAGCAACATGTCCACAGTGGTGGACAATTGGAGAAGGCAATGGACACTAGCAGGTTGGGACATGGTGAGGAGCATGTCCGTGATGATGGACATATGCTGGATGTGGCATCAGATAAGGCGATGGACAATATATATGGTGAAGATGTGTAGTCTCGCGATTTGGCTGAAGACCCTTACTCTATAGCTGAGCATATGGCTACTTTAGAAGATGAAGTATTGTTAGATCATTTGGAGAACGTGGAGGCTATGCACAAGGTACACAGAGGATAAGGGAAAGAGAGAGAAAAGAAAAAGATATCTTATTGACGAGGACGACCAGATGGCGGTGGACATGTTAGCAGAGCTTTTTGATGAAGCGAATGGTGTATCAAAACAAACATGTCTTGGTCGGGAGACGAGTCGGAGTATGATTTTGACGAGTGGACATATCGAATTAACAAAGAATACCCGTCTGACTGGGATCCAAAGAGATGTAGGATCAAACGAAATGGAAATGTCTGCACCAGTTATCTACCGAGCACTGGAAGTGGGCCAAGGGTCTGTTTGTGCGAAAGAAATAGAAATTCCAACAACTGTATCAGGGGAATCTGGTGAAGGGAGTCATATTGGGTCATATGGGCAAGGATCATTGGAGGTAAGTGACAACGATAGTGATGTTGACTTGGATGTACCTAATACCGCCCAGGGTATGTGCAATTTTATGTCAAGGGACCTACTCAGCAATGAACTGATAAAAGAGGATGATCTACTATTGTTAACAGATGCGCCATTTGTGCATGATATTCTAAAGGGACCCCCCACCTGAAGAAACATGGATCTAAAGAGGGTTGGTGATGGACTATATGTAGGGCGTATGTTTGCAAACAAGGACGATATGCGTAACACGCTATATTTGTATGCAATGACACGTCTGTTCAGCTATAGAATCAACAAGTCAGATAAGGGGAAAGTGATTGGTAACTGTGTAGACAAGAAATGCAGATGGCATGTATATACAACTACACATAAGGGGTCTGAGAATTTGGAAATAAAAACTGTGCATCTAAGACATAATTGCGATGTGGCCTCAAGGTCAAGGTATGGGGAAAAAGCAACTGCAAAGATGTTGGCGGATCTGCTGAAAAGTAAATTTGAAACAGGTAAGAAAGGACCTAGAGCATGCGATCTACCGGGGATGGTGTTATCCGAGTTAAATGTGACAATATCTTATACGAAGGTGTGGAACGCAAAAGAGCTTGTTATTGTCGCAGCCAGAGGTGACGAAGAGGAAAGTTACAGAATCCTGGCAATGTACCTGCACCTGCTAAAGACAACCAATCCAGGGACAATAACTGAAATGCACACAGCGATGGACAAC